ATTTAATTTATTAATTGTTTAATTAAATTTATTCAAGTGGCAATAACTATGAAATTAATATCAATTTTTACATTTTTATATAAAAATTTATAGTAAAAAACTGCCCTTAACCTCTGTTCCTATGACATAGGTTAGAAAAACTCTTAGTAAAAATATAAAAAATTTAATTAAAATTAATAAATTTACATTTTAGACAAAGTACTATGTGAAAAAAATGTAGGAAGTATGGTCTAATAAAACCTTAATTTAGATGTTAATAATAACTAATAGATGATATTTTATTTATAACGATTAACAATTGTTATTGTTATTTATAATTTAAATGCCCTTATTCATCCAATTGAAGAAAATAGGTATTAATTATTTCTTGATAACTATCCAACAAAAAAAATATTTCTTAATAACTCAATTAAATATGGCCTAATTGTTGAAAATGTCATTCATATTAATTTTTAGTTATATTAATAGACTAAAAAAGTCAAAAAGAAACTAATAACTTAAATAGTTTAGTACTAATTTGTATTTAACAAAATTAAGAGATTTTGAGTTCAAATTCTACGACATGTAAATGGGATGGATTAAGAGATGAAATAGAATTAGCTCCCATTGTGTAATTCAAAATAAAAATTCAAAAAAAAAATAATTTAACATGAAATTAATATTAATAAGATGTAACAATAAGATTACCCTAATAATAATTAAGAAAATAAACAAATAAAAATTGAAAAACCGAGACTTATTTTGTGCATTAAAAATCAAAGAATACTGAAATTAATTACTAATTAGTATATACTTGTTAAATTAATAGATTTTGAACCTTTTTCCCTTGTTTTGTGGGACCCACAGACACAATCCACTTGAAAAAAAAAAAAAAAAAACCCATCACACTTACCAGTCAAAGGTGCCACTGTTAAATGGTGGTTATAAACGGTGTTAGGGTGGTGTTAGAGGGAGGTAAATGACATGGAAAGTTAAAGTAGAGAGAGGACTGTAGTATGGTTTGGAAAAGTAGAGGGAGGACTTTGAACGATTTGTAAGTACAAGGAGGACAATGAACGAAAATTGAAAGTAGAGGGACTATAGTTGGCTTTAACCCTCAGCAAAATCACATCCAACTTCGCACTCTCAATAGCTACAAAAGATTTTAGATTAATTTGGACACCAAAAACAAGATTCATCACCCTTAGTAATATACCAGACGAATTTCTCAAATCCTCAGAAATTCACACACGTTTACATCTGAGCCTCCCCAAAACGTAAGCCGCAAATAAAGTGCCACACGAACCAAGTTGGGATAGATGCATGTTACTAATGATGTTTTTGGCCCAGTAATAAAGACTGAGACCCTACAATCTCAAAGTTATGGATTTGACTCTCATATATGATAGATTTTCTCTAAAATTTTCTTACTTTTTGTACCATAATAAAAACGAGATATTTGTGCGCATGGTACTTGTAAACCATACTTGTACTCTACTCCCAAAAAATTATAAAAAAAATGAAGAGAGCCAAAAAGAGAAAGGTAGATGCATGTTACATGAAGAGCAGCTTGGAGTAAACCCCAAATTTCTAAACATGCAACTAGCAAGTGACATGGTTGACATGCTGCGATCGATCTACAGCATCCAACACCTGAGAAGTATGAACTTCGACACATTTAATTTCCAGCCGACCCAGAGAAACTAGGCATAGGAAGATGATGCCAAGGGTTCAAGTTCGGCAACTAATAATTTAACTTTGGGGCAGATATCCTTTAGACCCAACTCAAACTGGATTTGATCAGGTCAGGGAATAAACGAAAACACACTATGAATATATAGTTTTACAAAGCCCATAAACTTTCATGGCCCAAAATTACAGCTAGGTTCAAAATTTCCCCCGGGTGGCAGCGTATGGTTGAAACTGGTAAAAATGCCTAAAAAGCATCCCTGAAGCCAATACTTGGCATAAAATCATGATGCAAGACAACAAGTTCGAGAAATTCTTCACATAAAAAGTCATTGCTAACTTTCTTAGGACCAACAATTTCGATTCACTGCGTGCTTCAACTTAAAATGGCAACAAAGTAATGAAACATGATAAAGAAAGCACTAAAGAGAAATGAAAAACGAAGAAATGTAAATCATACCATGCTTCATTGAACGTATCTGAAAGCAGATGACAAAAACTACTAATAAGTTAATTAAGGCTTAAAACAATGCTTGAACATCACATTATAAAAGATAAGAGGAACTCTCCAAGCAAAACTAAACCGACATACAATCCAGAATTCCAGATCTTTAGCTTAAACCATCAACCCATGATAAAGTGTGAGATCTGACATATTGTGCCAGTCAATCAGCCTTTCTTCTAAAAGAGCAACCCTCTGTTAGCCTCGCACGTCCCCCAGTTGGCTGGCACAACACTGTTTGGCAGTTCCCACACACCACCACAGTCTGTGAATGGCTGAAGACAGTTGTTCTACAAAAATTTATGGAGACATAAGTCTATGCAATTTGACAAATAATTTCTCTATGGTACCGAATCATCATCCACAGAAATAAAAAAACATTGTTTTTATTCCTAAAGTTGATTCAACTTCAGGACTGTCAGTTCCCTCTCTGCTACAACCACCATTTCCTCCCTGGAAAACCTTCTAAGTTGCCAAACCTAGATACATTGAGTGTAACTCAAAGATCCACCACTGACCACCTTAAAAAAACCAATTTCACTCACTGGACATAACTCAAGGATCCACCACTGACCCCTTAGAAAAACCCAATTCCACCCACAAGCCACAACCACCAAGACACCATAGAAGGAAGCATGAAACCCACCACTACAAACAGCCAAAATCCATTATGACATGGGAATCCACCTTCCAAACACAACTATCTAACATCAAAGCTACCAATGACCAAAACAGAGTGTGATTCCCCTAAAACATTTTAGTTGTAAAATCCAAATTCCTGCTAGTTCAATTATGTAGTGAAATATCCACACAAGACTTCTAGGAGACAATTACAAAGTTTCATCTTTTCAGTTTCTCACATCTGAATCCAAAAAAAGTCAATGTTTTTTTTTTTTTCCTAGAGATTTCATTCAGAACTAAGAAAAATGCAAAGAAAATAAGAAAAAGAATATGAAAACTCACATTTGGAAGCAACCTTGGCACTTCACATCCTGCAACAAAGAAAAATCAAGAACAAAATTCAATTAAAAAGCCCAAAAGTAAATAAATCCACGCCGCCATTAGTAGGAGTGAAGAATTACCATGAAGAAAGAGTTCGGGGACTGCACAAGACGCTTAAGCTTGTGCTTCTTCTTCTCCAGCTCGACCGGAGGATTGAGCAAATCTATATCATTCTGAAGAACCTGAATACAAAAAACACTAGAATTTCAGAAACCATAACCGATCCCTCTAAAACCAAAGCCACAAACACGAACGGAGATTCAGAAACTTCAATCCAAAATCGTTTTGCGCTCACCATCTTGAGGGAAAAGGCGAACGGCTCGTAGCAGACTATCTCAAATCTCAAACCCTAGAAACCCTGCTAGAGAGCACAAAAGACTGCTGCTGAAAGTATGAAAACGAGCCACGTCATAACGATGAATATAAAGTATATTCTAAGAAATGTAGGCCGTTAGATCTTGTGGAAATTTGATCTGGGCCTTCCGTTTATAGTTCTCTAGAGGTGTCTAGGGCAACAGCGCCCCCACCAGGGGTATAGTTGTCCATCTGGATTTATAGTTCTCGGTATTTCGGTTTTTGCCACTCTAGAATCTTTATTTTGAATTTTACCCTGAACTATTTAATTTCAACTTTCAAATAGCTAAAAATTAATGGTCCGTCAATTTTTATTTTTAATTTTGAGTTTCATATGTTATTGTAATTTAAAAATATAATATATTACTTAAATATATGAAAAATGAAAACCAAAAATCAAAACTCAAAATTATACTAAACTGAACTATAGTTATTAATTTTAGATTTTTCCCCTAATTCTACCACTGGTATTAGGAAGGTGTAATATAGGACATGATTGATGGTTCCGATTCCTACAACAAAAAGCCTCCAATTTGAGGGAAAATATGGATTTTTTAAAATTATTCTAATTGAAATTTAATAAACTAAAACTTCTTTTACAAAAATAAATTAAAATTTAATCATTTAGACACTTCCTTGAGAATCTAATCCAGGTTTATCTTTTGCCGTTCAAAAAAAAAAATCCAGGTGTGTCTTTTAGGAAAAAGGAAATAATGATTTCCAATTTTAACTAAAAAAATAAAAATAATAACTTAAGGACTAAAGGCCAAAAGAAAATAACTTAAGGACTGAATTAAAAATGTATAAACGTTCAAGGGTTAAAAGTAAAATAGTCTATTTTTAGGGACAGAGGAAAAAGGTTAGTTATTGTTGAGAGTGGGATTTGAACCCACGCCCTTTCGGACCAGAACCTTAATCTGGCGCCTTAGACCAACTCGGCCATCTCAACAACAATGTGTGTTCATTCAAATGTCCACTAAGCTTCAATTACTGGAGGAATCCAATGCTCACTCAACCGCTAATTTTGTTTGTGTACATTTTTCGATACCTTAATTTTTAATTCTGATTTTTTAATTTATATAACTTTTTAATATTTTAAAAATATATAAAATGTTAATTAAAATCAATATTAAATGTATTTTATATATTTTTAGGGCATTAATGATAAAAAAACCTAAAATTACAATTACATGTCAATATTGTCAAATTAAGTCTTATGTATGTACCCAAAAAAATTAACTCTTATGCCCAGACTCAGCACGACTTCTTCAGAGGAGTAGACTGTGACACTCCGAGAATTTGGAGGGTTCTTTAGCTTCACCCATTCAAATCCTCTGTGCCCACCTCCTGGTATTGCTTACACTGTCCTCCCTAACATGGCCTTTTTTGAGTTCCTAGAATATATACAAACCATGAAGGAGTTCCTACCAATAAATCCTTTTGAATGTGAAGGTTGGCCAATGCTATGAAATTGTTGCCACTACTATTACATGCAGGCTAGGATGTTTCTTTGCATTTTTTTCTCCTCTAGTTTTCTTAGATTCTGCTCCCTTTCATAAAGATTGTGATTTTTCTTTTCTGAGTTATATATATAGATATAGAATTGGAGACATTATCTAGTTTGCATTCTTTCCACGAGCTCCAAGCAACCAGTACAACAACACCAACCATAAGATTCTTTAAAATCTTTACCACTTATGATCACTTGATCAGGTATATACAGTTTTTGTTTAAATATAAAACTTAAAATCGTACAGAATCTATTTAGCTTCATGGAACATGAATTTTGTTATGATTGTAAATGATTAAGGTATAAATGTTGCTAATCTTACAGAATCATGGAATGGATTTCTTTGCATCCCAAAATTGCAAGGGTTTTCTTCAGGAGGAACTTTAATCATTATAGAATGTCTCAGTAACTCATATTTCCAGATAATGAAACTTGAGTATAAATTTTGATTAGAAAAACAAAAGTGATTAATATGAAATTAAAACTTATCATAATCTCAAAACGTGCTTAATTAAAGTCCAAAAGAATTTGGTCAGAAATACAAATCCATGTTACCACAACAGAGAATATAAAACTGACTGTAACATATAAATTCAAGACAACTCAATTAACATCTAGCTCCGAGAAATTCTTCAGTGCAATGGGGATACCACGTCAGCGGTATCCCCATCCACTAAAAACATGACATGTCATATAAACATTACACATCAGTTGAGAAGCTTAGACAAAGAGAAAAACACCATGTTAATGGCGTTACACTATATTTTTTAACTTTACCGTTTTCGAAACAGTCCGTCTTTAAGCTCTTGCACCTCTCAAAAAACTCAAAAGTCTTTTAGGTCTGGTTTTGTTTTTTATACCCAAGGTCTTAGCTTTGTCCTTTGGTAAATTTAAAAAATTTCAACTAGGCCTTTTCTATTCAGCCATTCATGTTGATGTTCTTGGGTAAATCTTGAAATTCTCAACTTAGGCATTTTATATTTATTCATCCATGTTGATGTTCATAGATGGTTTTTCTCTAAAAATGTTTACTTCTTGCCTTTCAGCATGTGAGTAGAGTGGTCAATGGTCATACACAATATTAGGATTTCTAGGAGGCATATACTTCAATCTGTAGCACATCTGTCAGGAACTGAGACTGAAAACCAGTTCCTTTTGTTTCCTAACTGATTAAAAGACTATGGTCTTGATGGCATTCGGTGTCTTTGCAGCTGGATTGAAGATTTTGGAAGATCTGACAAAGAATTCTGTTCTAAAACAGCAACAGGTATTGGAGGAAATACTCACCAGGAATGTGAATTCACTGTATCCCGGTTCTTCCTCAATGGCAACTTAGATAAGGAACTTTTCAAGCAGGAAGTTCCGGTGGTAGAATAAGAAGATATCTTCCCTTACATTGAGCGGATTGCGAATGGAGAACCATCAGATATTCTTCTAGCTGAATCCGTTACTGAGTTTCTTCAAAGGCATCATATGTTCATATATTCCCAATTTTCTTTTTTTAAATTCTTGAAATGAAATTGATACTGATTGAATTGAATCAACTTTGTTGCAGCTCAAGCAGTTCAGGAAGGAAGAAAAAGTTAGTCCCTTCTATTGCTAAGTATATTGACAAGAAGTTGTCTTCGGCCCACCTGATGAGTTTAGTGATGATGAAGTGAATATCGTGATCCCAATATTTTTCTAAATATTGTTAAACAAATTCTAAATGCAGGTTAGATTATTTGATCATTTTTTTTTTCAAATGACAGGCATTTAGATGGATTGACCCAAGGAAAATGGATGTACCTTTTCTTCACTAAACTAGATATTAAAACTCCTTCGAGGCTGATGCCAAGAACATTCCTAACAAGCTTAATTAAGGCAGCTCAACAGAAGAATTCTTCTGAGAGCAAAATTTACGCTAGCCTTATTGAGACCGTCCTCTGCTTAGACTCCAAGCAGAGCTTGTATTGCCAATTATTCTGTGGTCTAGTACAACAGGATTATGTCATTGTTGTTGGCTCAAGTTTTGCATCTACTTTCCTTAAGGCCATTAGTTTCCTAGAAGATCATTGCGAAGAGTTGTGCTCAAACAAAAAAACAGGTCATTTAAGTGACTGGATCACTGATCTCGGTTGCAGAAATCAAGTGTCATTGATTATCAGCACACCTAATCTAGAATTGGCTGATCTGCTAGAACAAGCATGCAGTTCTAAATCATGGGAAGGGATAGTTGAGGAACTCTGGCCTAGAGCAAAATACACTGATACCGTAGTTACAGGTTCCAAGGTACAATATATCCCATCACTTGAATTCTACGGAGGAGGTCTCCCTTTGATTTCACAGCTTTATGCTTCTTCTGAATATTACTTTGGGATCAATTAAAATCCTTTAGGTCATCCTTTCTATATCTCTTATACTCTGTTCCTAAACATGGCCTATTATGAGTTCCTACCTGTGAATACAAGCCATGGGGGAGTTTCCAATCAGGATTCCATAGAAAAGGAGAAAATTGTTTATCTTGCACACGTGAAGGTTGGTCAATATTATGAAATTGTTAATTTGTTACCACTACTATTGCAGGTAGGCTAGGTTCTTCTTTGTTCTTTTTTTCCCTCTAATTTCTGAAAAATTTGTCCTTTCTGTAAGAAAATTGTAAATTTTCTTTTCGGGATTATATAGATACAAAGTTGAAGACATGATCAAGGTAACAACTTTCTACAATAATGCTCCTCAGGTACAAGTTGTGGGGTGGCAAAATATAGTTTTAAGCATAGATACCAAAAAACCCACTGAGGAAGACCTCTCAAAGGCGGTGACACAAGTGCAGATGAGCCACCATGACCAGCTGGGGTAGCTCCTGATTGACTATACTAGCTATGCAGATGTTACTTCCTTTCCTGGTCATTATATACTGTTTTGGGAACTTAAGAAGAAAATAGGGGGTTGTGATGTGGAAGAGCTTGACTCAAAGATGATCGTCTAGTGTGTAGATGCACGAAACAACTTAGTTATCCGATTAGCCTAACAAAACAGCTGCAAGTGATGTACTTCGAACAACGGGCCTGTAAGACTCAAGGTTAGACCTTGGGAAAGGCACTTGAACACTCAAGTCAGTACGTAAGGGATTTAGTAAGGGTAGGCTAAAGAGTTCTGCTAGCTAACTAAGAGTGTAATGAATGTACCTTAAATGTGGTGGTTGAAGAAGTATTTATAGTCCCAGGAGTTCCTTTCCGCATGACTGTTTCCTCTTTGCTACTCATGTGCTAGTGTTGCGTACTGTGGCTTCATGGAGGTGCATTCATTTTGATGTTAGGGCATTTAAATCCATGCCAAACATGATGTCACTTGTTAGGATCAAGGAGGAAGGAGGGGGTGTGATTAGACGATTAGCAAAGTCCAATGACACCCTTGGTTGTGCTTGGACTAGTCCCTCACACGGTGCTACTCCACAATGGAAGAATCCTTGGATGCTACCTATAAAATAAACAGAAAGGAGAATTCAACTGGAACATTAGAGATTAGAGTAGTGACTCCTAGAATTTTCGAAGCACTAATGGAATATTTCATATCAGAAGGATCCTTTGTTGGCCAATACAAGACACCAAGGTGCGTCAGGTCTGATGAAGCCATAAAGCTTCTGAATTGTAGAGTTGTAGGTAGGTATTTCAGCCCAAAATGAGGTGACATCATTGTCCTTGGATTATTAGAAATAATCATTTAGTCCTTAATTGTTAAGGACTTAGCTATAACAAATATAAATTTAGGGTTCGCAAGTTAGATTCCTCTTAATCCTCTCCACTTTCTCTCTCTTTCCTACCTAAAGATTCTCAGAGTCTTTATGTCAATTTCTCACTTTCCCTCACTTGCTGCCACTTTCTCTCTATTTTCCTCTCTTGTTTACAACTGTAACAAGAGAAGGGAGAAGGAAACAAAGAAAACTCTACTGTTCCAAACCTTTTTTTTTTTTTTATTTGGTTGGCACTATTGTTCTATACCTTGAAGCTATAAGAAATCAAGCTCCATCTTCGCTTGAGCCTAGTTATTTAGGCTAATTAGGTATGTGTTAGTATGTGCATTGTGTTGTTTGTTATTTTAATTGATATTATGGAGTCTAGTCTCAATCCATAGTTTATGGATTAATTTGAGAAATTCCCTTAGATTGACTTTTGCAATGCTCTTTACAATATTTGGTATAGAGATTTGAGGTTAGGGGTTGGCATTTTGAATTGATCTGATGAATAAGAATATTTGTATTATAAAACAAGAATAACTGTTAGATATTGATTCTCTACTATCTACTGCATTTAAACTGTTAATCCAACCAAAGTGCTTTAGTACTAACCTTCCTTGAGGTAGATTTTTTATCACTACACAATAGCTACCTAATTAGAGATGCTAAGGCTGGTTCTAGCATGTGTAACCGCCACATTTGTGTTTTCTGACCTTACCACAGCCAACTTGGTTATTTACATGAGTTATATTAGATAATGTTTGACTCAATCTCTCTCTTGTGTTTTAGTTAGCTCATTGGGCAAGGTGAAGCTTACTTCATGCTTAAGCTATTGTATCTAAAGAGCTATATACTTCCGCTGCTACTGATTTCTACAATATATGTTTATAATTGGTTTCTAAACCTTCTGATGGAGAGTGTTCTTCCCTAACTACTGACCTACTTCTTGAGATTTCTCCAAAACTAATACTCTAATTAAATTATTTCTCACTTTAGCCTATACCTTGAGGTCCTAGTAAGCACAAAGTGTATTTTGGGGTGTTACACAAAATCTCCTTCTTTAGAGCTCTTTATGATGATGAAATTGCACAATTGAATAAATAGACTAATATTTGAGAACTATAATAGATTTTCCAGGATTGTTTTTCATTTTTGTGCAAAGGTCATTTTATTCTCTCTTTCTCTCTCCCCCTTTTTCTTCTTTAGCTTCATATTCTTTTTACTTTTCTCTCTTTAAATAAAAATGTCACTTAACATAGATATTATGTCTAAATTTATTTAAAAAACAAAACAATTGATAGGTTGAAATTTCATAGATTTAATGTATAATTTTTGCCTTGATATTGTTGATATAGACATTGATTAGTACAATTTCTGATTTAACATATTACATAACATGCTTGTTAAAAATCACTATTTTTTTTATATGAAGTTAAAAAACAAGCCTAAAGATGCAACTATACATGTCAAATGTGAAAATCAATTGAATAAGTTATACTAATATTATATTTTAATAGTTGAATGGAATTAAAATCAGAAAGTGTGTTGATTTAGAATGTATATATATTGATCATTTTCCTATTGATATTTGGATAAGTTTTAAGAGATTTAACTTGGTTTTACATAATTTTTTTCATTCTTTGGGTTGAAAATGACTTGATTGGACGAAATTTAAACTTTGAGGATCAAAGTTTCAATCAGTAGAAAATGAGAGACCAAAAACAGTTAATCAAAATTGCATAAAAAGCCCAAAATTGCCGACACGGACATGGTTTCAACTTTGAAGGCATTGGTGAAAGTTTCGGCACTTCAATGTAGGATGTTGACCTCTTGGAGAATTTTCAGCACATTCACGTCAAGTCCTTATCATTTTGGTGTCAATTCCTTATTATTTTGGTGTAAATCCCATTTTTAAATCCCATTTCTAATCCAATTAGGTTTTCTATGTTTTTATAAATAATCATTCAAGATCAAAATTGAGGGAGGCTTTTGGTAGCCTTTTGAGGGAACTTCCGGAGGAGTTTTTTGAGAAGGTTAAATGCTAAATTTGGTTCCTCAACTTTAGTGAGTTGCACATTTTTGGTCCTTTAATAATTTTTTGTACTTTTTTTATCCTTAAACTTTAAAAAATGCACTCCGTTAGTCCTTCTATTAATTTCGATCGTTAACTCACTTATGTGGCATTTTTTATTATTTTTTTGATGACGTGGCAAAACAAATTAAAATCTTGTTGATGTGGATTTTTTTTTTCATGATATGGATTTTTTTTTTCATGTCAACTCACATTATTATTATTTATATTTAAAAATAAAAAATAAAAAACTTCCGTCCTCTTCCTTTCTCTTTTTCTTCCTCTTCTTCCTCTTCTTCCTCGGCAAGCCATTGAACCCAGTTTGCTGGGTTCAACGGAACCCCGCCTGGGTTCCAGCGAACCCAGCAGATCTGGTTCAACAGAACCCATTTGCTGGGTTCCGTCGAACCCAGCAACTCGGTTC